GCTTCGTGGGAGCTTCGAGCCAGGCATCTACTTGAAACGGGAAATCGTCATTCGGCATGTTCCACTGAACCCCAGGTGTCCGGGGCCACGAAGTCGGTTGTAGATAGACGCGATCTGCCTCATCCTCGACAGTGATTTTAGCCAGAAGGTTAGGTTTGTTAGTCGACCATTCCGGCAGTCGGAATCCGCTGGGTTCCAGGGCTACTGCAGATTAAAGGCTACGGTAGCAAGACGTTCTGGAGAAGCGGCTTTAAACAGCAAATCGTCAACAATAAATGCTTGTTCGGCTGCCGATAATTCAGCGTGGTTTGACACACTAGGTGGTTTCTGATGGAATGCTTCAAGGTGAAACTGGTGCAGAAGGAAGACAAAGTTGCGCCAAAGGGGTGTAAAATCATACGGCAAGTCTTCGGGGCCTGCTCAACGTTGCCGCGCTCCCACCATAAGAAACATAGCACGTCTGGTCTGATTCTGGTGTCTGCACTTGATGGAACATTGACTCAATGTTTGCCGTGACCACGTGCCTATACTGGCGGCAACGAACAAGGACTCCGAGTAGACCATTCACGATATCCAGATCAGTGAGCAGCTGCGAGTTCAGGAAGTTCCCTTTGACTTGACATGCACGATCGGAGACGTCTCTCACCTCATTCGGCTGGCGAGGGTGGACCATCTGTGATGTGGCAAGTACCGAACTCTACCAGGGCATTCGGTCCCCGGTGGTGATTGACAGATTCGGTATATCCCTTGACCAGGTATTCATTATTAACTCCACGGTAAGCATGGAAAACCAGCCTTCAAGGGCAGAACGATTTCTTAGCGTACATCTGTCAGCCTCAGCGAAGGTTTTACAATAGTTATTGCCTGTTCATCAGACTGCAACGATGAGAGCTCATATGATGGCGAGTTCCTGAGCTCGATGTTGGTCGTGGCCTATGACTTTGGATCCAGACGGTCTTCTTGATGGCTACTGAGCTAGCTGATTCGGGCCAACTTGTCATTTGTATCATTTGCCGGCCCAAGAAGGACCCACCCGAGTGGTATTCGATTGGCGTAAGGCTCATGTGGCCTGCCCTTTCGGCTTTCCAGCGCTCACTGTGCCATTGGTACGTCCATCCCGATCAAGAGGGATATTGGTTGGCTTCTGTCAATCTCGAACGGGATTCCTTTCAAGTGATCTTACTCAAACCACTGCTCTCTCTTTGTTAAGGTTTGAATAATCGACGGCTGACCTGAACTAAAACAGAAAACAATTGCTGGCCACGGGTGACCTTGGGCGGTTGGGTAAATGGCCGGAGACACAACGAGCAAGAGTGGAGGAGGCGGGGTAATTCGAATTGGAAGAACTTAGCAAGTTTAGTCTCAAAAGTACGGTTCAATCTGAGAACAAGCAGACTCACTGGTTGCAATGTCGTGAGGAGGTCAGGTGCAGGGGTTAGGTTGGATGGGGACAGAGAGGTGGTCGAATTCAAACGAGTAGTCCATCAGGTTGAAGTGAATGTCATGGTAGTAGTTGAGGTCAATGAAACGAGTAGGTAAGAGGGCTCAGTTGGGAGGAGGAATGGAACAGTTGCGGGTGTGCTATCGAACTGAGTATGGCAGTGCCGTGCCATCGTTGGCCTGACATGTTTCAGTTTTTGGACAGCCCCGTGACGGACGTCACATTTGAGATGAGTCGTCTTGGGTATGCAGTTCATTGAGCAGCGGTATTCATTTCAGCCTGGTCGAGGAAACAAGCTCGAACGAAGCCGATACGGGATTTTAGGGTTTTTGTGGTCCGCTTGGTGGTCCCGAAGTTGTAGACCATAGGCCAGGTGGATTGTATACCAGCTAACCAGATCGTCCAAAATGGGCACTTCCGAAGTTCAAAGCTTGGGAAGTTGAGGGGATGGGAGGAGACTCGCAAACCATGGTGAAGTTGAAAGGATATAAAATGGGATAATATGCATAAGTATGCACAGAAAGAAAAAAATGAAGTCTGCTGCAATTAGGGTGATGACAGGTGATTATATGGAGTAGGAGAGAAAGATTTGTACTTAGCAGGCTAGCGACCAGGGGTTGAGTTTGCTAACCTGCGACATTACATTACAAGGGATCTAGTAAAAGCCGATAAAAGCGCGTAGAAACGTGGTATGGGAATCAGGTATGTAAGGGCTGGCGGGAGTGGATTTCTATGATAACTGGATAATCTGGTGTTTATTACATGAGTTGGGCTATGCCAGTAGAGGACGTGTGTGCAAGAGAAATAGTCACTGGTCCCTGAAGTACGGCTATCAGCTCTAATCTGTAGACGGTGCATAGCAGGTGTTGACCACTGGGAGCGGCGACGGTTGGATGACGAAATGAGCTTTTGTGCAGTGTATCATCTGTTCTGACGAAGGCAGATACAGCTGTGCTCACCGATGTTGGCCATGGGCAGTTGCGGAGTACCTTCGGGCTATCCCAAGTGAACTTCTAATTTTTTGTTTTTGTTTTCTTTACAGATGAGAGGCCAGTTTTCTTCTGCGGTTTATGGCATTGCCAAGTGCATAACTCAACCGAGGCGAGCCCAACACCAGCAGCAACAAACAGATGTCAGCAGTACTTTTTATTGGTTTCCTGAATTTAAAGGCCAGACTCAGAACCACCGGCGGTGGGCAATGCACCCGTGCTACTGGAGAGGTGGCGGGTGTACGAACGCACCATAGTGCAACGTAACAGGGCGACCCTCCCTGCAGGCTGTACCCGCCCACCACACGAGGTTTCCATCCCTCGTGCACGCTACCAGATCTGCAAGCTGGAAAACCATCCAAGCAGTCATAAGTGTGGTTGGTGCATTAATAAATACTCCAGCAACCATTTTTGGTCGGGGGAAAACCAGGTCAGTAAAAACAGCTCAGTCAATTCGAATAAGCGAACAGCATACAGACGCTGGTAGAGGCAAGTCGCGGAAGAGGAGGGGAATGACAGTTGTCAATGAGACGGTAGGACTGGAATGTTGATACTCACGGCGATTACACCATGGCTAAACGGCGTCGGGGCGTTGATCTGGGCTGCCATGTCGAACAGAAGCTTTCCGCGATTTTGTGCATGGGAGTGTTATAAGCGCAGAATGCGCTCTGATGATGAAGTGGAAAAAAATAATCTTTGATTTGATTTTTATTAGCTGGAGTTAGACAGTGAGCACCAGTTACTAGACAGAGCTGATAGAGTAACCCATACAGAGGTTAAGTAGTTCTGGAAGATGTGGATATGATATAGGCATTATCTGTGAATATTTTGGGGGCGTCGCAGGATAGTTGGGGTGACGGCTCCCTCCTGATCAAGTGGATAGGTAGGAGGTCCAGCGACGTCTTAAATTATTCTGTCTGTAGAGGTAGCGGAACCCTGGAGGCTAACCATCTCTCGACGGACTTTGACCGTCTCCATTTATAGTCATGCAGCTCTGTCTTTCAGATCGGTGAGGAGCTCTCGTTCGGGCGTCAGGGGGTAATCCAATGGAGGAAGGTCTGCGGAATGTTCGCCAGATATGCCAAAAACGTATTATGAGTTGCGTTATTGCTTAACTTTGTAAGCTCCGGGAGGCTATGGATCTCACAGGACGATTGCAGCTATTAGATTGTACGCAGTTCGTAGTCAGTAGACAGTAGGAGCAGACAGACGTAGGCAGCAGATGATGTATTGGGGACTGACAGGAACTGGTTATTCAGTAATTACGCAATCAGCAGGAGCGGAAAATAGTCACTGAGGCAGTGGAGATTTATATAGGTGTAGTCTGACAGTGTGGGTTGGCCGTATACAGAAATAATGGTGCAGAAATTAGTACGTTTGGGATGTGAGGGACTGTCTTTCGGTTGGTGGCGCGGCGTGGTTGCTCGTGTCACCTGACAAGCGAGATTACAACGTTTCGTCCGTTTAAAACAAAACTCGCCAAAGGCTATCTGACAGGTGCGGTACATTGTTAATACGAATAGTGAACCATCACAGGTGTCAAGATGGTGTAGTGGATGGCGCGTTAGTCTGTCGTCTGGGAACTCTGGGCTCGATACGCGGTCAGTCCGCTCGAAAAGAGGTACAACCGACACGAACTTGTAAGCAATGACAGAGGGGCAACACATATTGATATCATTTACTGAAGAATAGGGAAATCTGAAGAAGAACGAAACAGGAGGGGAAACGTGCAGCAACGAAACAAATGGCATGATGATAAACGGGGGTCAGTGGCGTTACCCACGAGTAGTCAGAAAACAAGGAAAGTTACTGCTGTTCACGTCAGTGTCGATGACGCAACATAGTTGTCAATGAACTGGCACGTTGCCTTGAATGTCAAAAAATTTGTCCACATATCATTTGAAGCAAACTCGACAGACGCGTGTTGAGGATGAACCGGGGGATATCAGGGAGCTGGAAACCGAGATGATTTGAAGGTTACATTCCCTCTGTCGTGTCGCTCCCACTCCGCATTTGCCATCCTTTAAGTGATTCGACGCACCTTTGTCCCTTATTACACGCACGAACTTCCATAGCCCCCAGGTTACCCTCGTCTCCGGGAGGCCCTGTTTCTTACACTCTCTTTGGATGAGGCTTGGCCATGTGAGTGGCATGACGATTTTCTTTTAATTTAACTACGGGTTTTCCAATTCCCAATTACCGGGACTAACGAATCTCCGAAAGTTGCTCCAGGGGTGTCTAAGACGAATTTAAATTTATTTCAAGTGTACCTTTTATGCATGTCCTGGCACTGACAGGCTTACTGCCAACCGCTGAGATATTGGAGAGCGGCGGTACACTTTTTCTCTAGTGCCTTTAAGCCCAAAGGAAGCCGATGAATGATAAGAATAAACACGACCAGAAAACCCTGGGTGAAAGCCCAAATTCCATGCATCATTCCATGAATGCGTGACCACTCAACCTAATTGACAGTTTGACGAAGGACGCGCGGACTTTTAATTTACTAAGGTTCCTGACGCAGCGGGCGGTTTGTACCCCTGCAATAATCGGGTCTTTCCGTGCAGATTTGTTTGTTCGTTGCGAAGGCCGACAGGACAGTAGTGGTTTGTAAGTGGTACACAACACTTCATTATTAAATTTGCTTTTTGGCTGGAACTTCAGCCCAGTCACTACCTGGGTGACTACGAATAGTGTCATCGTCTCGAGAGGAGGCGATTAGGTTGAAAGGCCGCCGACGCATTAAGCTGGACGCGGAACAGTACGACGATTGTAGAGAAGTTACTACTAGGCTATGGAGGACTCGGGGTTTGTGAGTGCGCGTACAAATAGCCATAGTGCTTTAGTGAAGCGAGCCAGGACCAGTAGGGCGAAAACCGCCATAGAGCCGGTCATTGTTTCCGTTTTTTAGTTCTTACGCACTAGTTTATTGCCATTCTTGGGCTGTTGCTAATACCACAAACTCAAAGAATTTCTCTTTTCTTCGCCTACAAACTGCACCCGTGCAATAAATACCTCATTTTCGAACGTGAAGTGGTCGCTGTGTGGGGCTTTGTGATTTGTGTCAAAAGACTCGCATCACATTCATGTAGAAATCTTGTAAGTGGCCGGAGATTATGCTCAAAAATGCCACACCTTAGGCAACTGTAACAGACAAAAACGCCGTTGCAGTGCACATACACCAAAGTAGGGTTATATTTGTCATGGGCTCATCATAGGTCACAAAAATGAAAAATCGAAAAGTTATGGTAATGGTGATATGCCTATTCTTGCATATCTAAAGCAATACTGAGGTGTCGGAGTATCTGAGGACATCGGTACTTAACACAGAACAACAGCATGCAAATTAGCTCTGGAACTATAGCTTCAGTGTACTGGCTACAGAGTGAAGATTTCTGAGTGAAGATGTCTGCCTGCTTATTTTATGTCATTCAACTTGGTTCGCAACTCAGCCAACGGCCGATGGTTATGACGCACAAGCGAGAATTCAATTTATGTGATTAGGACTGAATCAGATCGTTCAGCCCATCTTGCTAGCTATAAACCAGAGACTCCTTTCTGCCAATAATCGCGTTACATCGGGTTATTCGTACAGTCCTCTGCGATGGAAGTGTGAAGGTAATAAGATGTTTATACCAAGATGTTTATGGAAACAATGGTGCTGCTTTCCCTCGAGGAAGGACGAATAGCAAAAGGTCGACCGTGAAGATTGCACACATATCGCTCAACAGTTTGTCGTGACCACTCGTGAACTATCCAATCCGATCGAAATAATTCAAAACCAAAGAGTCAGGTGCTGCACGAAAAGCACCTGCTGTGTGCAGCCGCATTAGGAGTCAGAGGTATGCGTCGCTCCCTGCGCTCTCGTGCCGGGCCAGCCTCCCTGCAGCCAAGTGGTTCAGACTATTGAGCCGTTGGCTCCCAGAGGGGTCTCAAGGAAACCGTAACAACCGCTGGACTAATCACTCCAGGAATGTGAGAATGTTCTTGAACAAAACCCCGAATCCTCCCACTGTCTTGTGGGTCAGACTTTTGAGTAAAACGCTCAGGGTGAGGTACCCAAACCAAACTCACTTATTCGGCCTGGGCAGCCGGGAAAGAAGTGGCACTGTCGCGGAATCTCTTCTTCCACCCCTAATAACATCTGATGATATCGGACTGAAGTGCTGGCCTTACGGTCTACTGGATCTCAGTAAAATCTACTACTCGAGTCCTTAGTGGCGGTCTACTTTTGTTTTCGCACGTGTTCAGCAGACTACAGTTTTACGGACCAACTATGGGCACCCAAAGTCCTTCCAAGCGGAAGTGAAAACGTCGACCACTAAGCATACTATTAAATTTATGTCCCCAGGTCAGCTCGGCTGGTTCGTTTAGTATCACCGATAATTCAGTCGCACGCAGTTCGCCAAGCTTTATGAAACGCGGTCCCGTCGATCGTTGGAAAATTACTGAGTATGTTACTGAGTTACTAAGTATGTGGAAAGACCTACACTCGCATTCTGTTTTGCCTCATTGTCGGTCTCATTAACTTGAAACTGTGAAAGCCTGTTGAGACTTAATAGAAATACACAAACTTCGCAAACAAACGATCAAATCTTAGGGTTCGTTAACGTGAGAGAATTTCAGATGTTTATTTTTGTTTCTAGAACTTCGGCTTTTTCTAACAGTTTGGGTGAGTGGTATCAGCGGGAGTGTATTCGTCTTATTCGGGAAGTCTTCTGACCATTCACTTTGGCCTTGCAAATTTTGGATGGTTGACACCTTTCCGTATTTTCTGCTACTACGCTGCATATTTGTTCTTTAGGTACGGATAATCTTACCTTGGTAATGTCTTCCGAACCGTCGACCTCTTGGCTGAAAGAAGTTGAGGACTATGAGGCCCGAATGTTCGATTATTTCACACAATGCTCGACCAGATTGAAAGAGTGGTATGACAAGGGTGGGGATGAGTCAGAATCTTATCGTGCGGAGTACAATCGCCTCTCTGCCGAATATCAGAACTATATGAATTATATTCAGCAATTGAGAGGGCTTTCAATAAAGACAAATAAACAGTCCAACTCACCAAGTAAGTGTATATCTTTTACTAACTTGCTTGTTCAAGGTGTTGAGGGACCCCAGCCAGCTGCCACTGATCACCTGACGATGATGGATGGAAATCCCGCTACGACTATACCTGTGTCACAGCCGCCTTATAACACGGCTACAGCGGCCGCGTGTTACACACAATATTACCAGGAAATGATAACCTACTTTGACAAACTATTGACATCGCTGGAAGTCTCACATACTGACGAAGTTAGCCCCGGCGCCGCTGCTACCTCAGCAGACGTGAGTCATACGTTTCCACTTACTAAGGTGAATTTCTTCAGGTGAACGATTTCGGAGAAGTTTTGGACGATGCTGAGGAGGATCGAATTGAAGGAAATGATGAATTTGATGGTGATATGTGTTGTAACCCTCAAGCCGTGATGGAAGAATACTTTGAACGGTTTGGTGAGATTGGCAAGTGGGACTGGGCTTCCTGGAATAATTACCTGAGCTGGATTGCCCGGACAAATCCACAATGGTACGGGATTTTTCTGGAGTACAGCCAGTCTCTTGGAATTGACTGGGATCAGATGTATAGTCAGTGGAAACAATCTGACCCACTAACCAGGCAGTCCTTTGACGAGTTTGCTGACTCAGGTGAGTACAGATAGACCTCTATGGTCTCCAGACTCAAAACAACCTGGTCAAGGCGTCGATCTATGACGCTGTATACGTTTGTCATACTTGCGCCTCGTGGTCACGTACGGGCACTCTTTCTCTGCTTTCGCTACTTTCTCAAACAGCAACCACATATCTTCCAAACGCCGGCCAGTAATCGATGGCTGTTTTGCTCACGGATATTCTTAAAACGTGATCTCGCCTTCGCTTCAATCGGTTACTTTGTGGGCCTTGTCTGGTCCGCCCTAACTTTGGAGTAAGATTAACAATTCTGCTCGTTAAGAACTCACCTTCGCACGGTTGATGCGGTGGTATTTGGAACGTACTACAACTCACTGTTTCTAACAACAAACATGCAAACGTCAACAAATCCACAACGATGCGCCTGGAGAGCGAACGTTCGGTTGGGGTTTTAAATGATACACTCCAGGAGTGCATCCAACAGCGTAACATGCTATGAGCTATTTGTTGGTGTCATTGTCTGAACAAAAGCACAGATCTTCGTGCTTACTTCGGAACTGATAGAATAATATGGAGGCGAATGAACTCTGGATAGTGTCTGAATGACTGCCTCCAGAACGAGGTTGGTGGTGTACCCCTTTACGACGAAAGAAACGCTGGAAATGATTGCAAGCTAATTTTTAGTCCCATTGAGTACTGGAAGTCATGAACACTTTGAAGCCCCCCCGCCCTTACTGTTCACCACCTTGTTGGCTCCCCTATTCTTATACTATTCTTAACTCCAAATTTCTTATGGTTCCGTGAGTCCGCTCATGTTGATGCCGCTATATTTCCTTCATGCGGTCAAATCTTCAACTGGGCTGTGCACTTTGTGGCTGTCTTGTGAAAACCAGTAGTGTACAGTTTCCGAATCAATGCATTCAACTATTCCTGGAGAATATGGGGTGGATACTGGTGTACACATCACTTTTATGTTGATTCGGAATTGTATTTATTCATTGTTTCCCAACGAGTCCGTTCGTATCCACTTTCAGCATAGTTTCGAACCGATAACCCAAACCATTTCCCCCGATGCTTTAATTGGGGCGAGATGGCCGAGTGGTTAGAGCGTGAATTTACTGACCGGAGGGTCCTTGATTCAAATCCGATCTCTGCCTCTCGAGTTCCCGTGTCTAGGTTTGGGCAACCTGGCAGTATACCAGCCTCGTACTTCCTTCGGGTGGCATGGCATTTAGGCGCTGAAGGGGTGCCACAGCTGAACGATGCTTTAATAAGTGTTTCGTTGTCCATTCACTTGCCATGGAACGACCACTTGCAGTTAACGCCCTCGATCCATGTGGTTGCTAGGCCTGGGTCGACATCAACCGCTTCGTCACTTTCAAAAACGCATTTTCTTTTCGAATTCGCCTCATCAACTCTACTTTCCCTTACAGCAGTGTGCAGCCTGTGAAAATTACGCAGGTTTTCTGTTATCGCTTTATACACCAGATCACAGTGGGACAGAAGCGCACAGTACTTTAGAACAATACCGTTAGTGCTGCCGTGGGGGTAATGCGACGGTTGTAAAGGCATTTTTAATCATCCTCACGATTCGTGACGCATATTAGTCGGATGTTGCTATGTGCCTACTTTTGGAATAAATTGCTTTCTCATGACATCCGTGATCATCTCTGTTGCGTTTCACCAGCAATGCTCTAGCCCCAAACTTTCCAGATTAGATAGCTGAAGTTGTGCGACAGTCTACCATGCTGGTTACATCAAGGAGACTATTTTAGCATTTCCAATGCTTACCGAATCATAGCTGAAAAGTATCAAGCTCAGCCGACTTTATACGCAAAACTGCTGCTGCAAATTCTGTTCTTGTTAACGGAAGTTACCATTTAGCTTTCCTTTCCCGGGACCATTTCCTTCTGTCGTCTTCTTACAGGGGGTCGTATTGTATGACCCGTAGTCGATCTGTAAAGTTTTATTCCCTCGCCGAAGTTCAGCAATATGTTGCAGACTACTAAGCATAGTGTTAACATGCTTCCATGTATTTCTGGAGAACCGTAATTTGACTATGATACCAGAACTCACTATTCCAATCACCAACCTACCTGCCTACTACTACCGCCAGCGGATCTGAGGCCATGCCATAGTCTCCTGTGGGTCCTTTTTACGGTGCCATATTCCGACATTGCAATGATCGCTTTTTCTTTTCGAAGTTTGGTCCTGGGTGGGGTGTGTCCCCTGTTGCCTCTGAAATTGTCTTGGTCATTGTGGAATGGGTCGCTATTCATTCTATTGAACTTTTTCTTTGTCTGATTCTATATTTGACTTCACTAACACAATCAACTTTTAGTATCAGGAAAGCAGTAGGCAAATCTGCTTACCTATTCTAGTGGAACGAGTACCAACACTACGTGGATGTCCATTAGTACGGTACCGTCCATTCGATCTCGATTCAGGACGTTTTTATTTTCTACGTTTTTTTAAACTTGATTCTGATTTAGTACGTTTTGCACTGCCTCATCCATTCATCATTTTTCTCTGTGCATCTTTTGAACGAGCACTGAAGTGAGGTGCGACACTCCATGTTGTCCCTAACGAGACGTCAGTACAATTTTCTTGATTCTTTCGTAGTCTGGACTGGACTAGCTGGCCTTATGAGCTGTCGGGCATGACTTTTTGACGACTACCATTGTGAACGTTTTCCATCATTAGCCTCATGGACTGACTGCTTACGGCATCCCCGTTCTGCGGCAGTTGCCTTTCCGAAATCCTGGAGCCTTGCGAACATCTGATAACGGGCTATATCGCCTTGACTGCCTCAAGCAATTAGCACGTGAAAAGCCGTTTGTTGGCGAGCGTACTTAATACTCAGTTACTTTTCTGCTTCATTGATTCGATTTCAAGAGCCAGCATTTGATGTCAAAGCTATGACTTCCGGAGTATTTTCTCATGGTCGCTTTCCGTTCGCCTCACCCTCAGCTTCCCCACTGATGCCCCATCAAGCTTTGGGTATAAATGCTCGTCACCGTTGGGTGTCAAGTCTCCGATTTCGCTCTTTTGCTGGTGACAGCCTTTTGCTGTTCTCTACCTCCCATTTCTCTCCTCCGAATTTCCTCGGTTGGCATACTTTTAGATAAAACTTACTACCGAGTGCTGATCCAGAGACAGCTGATTTTACGCATAACTCAACGCACGATGTAGACGAAAAAAATCGAATGGAGTCAAGCGGTGATGTTTGACCATTTTCGTTCAGTAAGAGCACGCTCTTTTTACGTGAGTCCGCTCACTGCCTGCTCTTCGCAACGTTCATTTGCTCACACGGACTCTTCCCATACCTAACGTATCCCATTTCTCGTGTACGCTTACCTCTAGTTTCGTCTTGGTAACACAAAAATCCGTGTCTCGCACTTGTTTCAGTTGACGGCTTTTCTATCCAACCGCCGAATCTAACTCAGTCTGTTTACCATGGACTGCTGTTCACGGAGACAGCTGATGATGACGATGATGATGGTCTGTTTTGTCGGACGTGTCAAATGCGTTTCAACACGGACCGTGCTTTTTCTATACACTTGCGCGGTGTCACTCACATACAGCGTGCTTTGGAAAATCTACAGAGACGTAACCCGGAAAATATTGACAAGTATACTGAGCACTATTCACAGGTATGTGTACTTTTACGTCAACGCTTGTGGCTAGCCGTAGTTTCAGTTATGAGTTTTCTTTTTGGTTGCGCTCCTACTCATATTTGGCTCTCCTTATCCTTGTGCTGTGGGGTTCAACCAACTTACAACAACTCATCTGCACTGCGTTCTATTTATGATCCTTAGTTTCAAACGGAGGTTGTTTTCTCTACGCTACACCCCTCAAACCATGTGCCTGCTCTTACCTTTTGTTGGGCTTTCCTTCCAGTTCAATCCGGATGCTGGGGGAGCACGCCATTACGCGTGGTTACAGTCTCAATATATGGAGAAAAATAAGTCAGCGTTTATTCGCCCCGGATCGCTGTATTGCGAGGCAAGTCCTTTTTCCTCTAACTTTCACTACGCAGTTGTGATTCGCTAGTCTTTTAAAATTCGTTTGTACTCTCTATACACTACTCACCAAAAATGCATCTACCATCAAAGCTGAACTCACGCACGGATCAGTCACCAGTTTAAATGCGCATGCCATTTTCAATACGAGACAAAATTTACTTTTCCATCGAACCTCCAAATCAGTGTTTCTTATTGGGGAATTGCCCATGTGGCCCAAGTAGTTAGAGCTCGAATTTACTGACCGGAGGGTCCATGGTTCGGACCTGACCTCTGCCTCTCGACTTCTCCTGTCTAGACTTGGGCAACCTGGCAGTATCCTAGCCCTCGTGATTCCTTCGGGTGGCATGGCAGTTAGGCACCGAAACGGTGCTACAACTGGACCATTTTTTTTGTTTTTCATCTCAAGCAACCGAATAATAAAGCCAGTTGCACTTAAATGTAGAACTACCCTAGAAATTAATGGCTACTTCGTGGTGACAGTTATGACGACACTAACGGAAACTGGTGGGATGTGTGTGATGGGGGTGAGGTGCCTAGAAATCGGTGGTTGGAACTTCCAAACTTGATAGACAGTTGATGCTCACGAAGACTAGAGAAAACAAAAGATAACCGGATGGCAGAAATGAGGATGGTGAGGTATATATAACTGTAGCACTCATGACTTGTGAGAAGTTGTACTTTGCAGGGCTTCTGTGCACCTGATTTTGGTTCATACTGCCATCCCGTGATTGACACGATTGACCGCAGGAAGCAGGAACTGCCATGCCACCAGAAGGCAGACTGCACCGGGGGTCAGTCAGTACTTTTTCACCTTATCGGTTTCGTGAAGTCATTCCACTGCATGGTATTTACGCAACAGTCCCAGGATTTTTCAGGGAGCAGCATTTCCATAAAGGCGGCAATTCTAAAGACACGAGGTTTCTTTTATTGCGATCCCTCTCTAGGATGAACCCCCTCCAAGAACCCAAGGTGATACAGTTCCTGATTCCCCAAATGACTGACTTAGTCTAAGTGGTTGGTATTATGGTGTGAGCGCCCTACGCCGTTAACCTAGATTTTTTTACTGAATGTGCTATACAGATTAGTCCGACTCGTCTGATTCGTCATATTAATGAACTCTTTTGGACAATACTTTGATAACCGTCTGTTGGCACATATCACATTTATAATAACGACTGAAGGTAATGAAGCAGATGGACAGAATGAAACACAACATTGCCGCCCAGTGCTCCGTTGGTACTCATTGATACTCGTATATTCTCGTTACCTTGTATAAATAGGTCTTCTGAATTTTACCATGTTAAGTGGTTCTTATTTAGGTTCAGCCAAGTAATGGGGAAACCACTGATATTGTCACTCAGATGACAGGAGCTAAAGAGTAGTAGCAAGAGGATTCATGGTGTTGCGCTGGTATATGTGAATCACCGGTATGCAAGAGTTTTGAATATCTGGAGCAGACAGGGTAGAGTTTCAACCCAATGTCATGTGCCGTTGGGAAACATCCTGATACAAGGAATTCCATCACCCTTTCTCGGAAAGCTTTCGATACGATTAATTTTGGTCACCCTTCTAGCTGAGGAACACCCGTCAACATAACATTTTGGAATCCTTCAAGGGTGCCCCCTTTAATGGGAGAAGTATTATATGCCTCTGGAAAGATGTGGGACCGATCGAAGGTACTCCCTCTCTGACCGTTGGCCTCCCTAGACGGAGACAGTTTCATGCAACTTTTACTCTGTTGATTGCAATGTGGTTACCTTCTATCATACTTCTTTCTCGAGCCATTTATAACTTTTTCCTTGGCCACTTTCACCACTACTAGCTTTGCCAAGTGGGGAGCAGTTCCTTCGCCTCACTCCAAGCTCATTTGAGTGGTCGGCGACATCGTGAGAATGTTTCACAACTCCAGTCATCCGGTGAGTACTTTTTGGAATTCCTATCTGTTGGGGATACCGGTTTACGGATGTTGATTTATCTATAAAAAATGACGAGAGATTTACATATGACATGTCAGGTAGTCGAAAACGAATACTATCAGCAGCACTTATTTATCCTCCTATCCGTTGATTTTTTCCCGTTCCCACTTAACTGTCAATCCTGTGTAGCTCCAATCTGTAGGTATCTCAGCCCTACCGTTAAGGGAGTGATTAATGGCATTTCAGCGACTATATCCCCACTCCGGCATGCAAACTCTTTGTTTCAACGCAGCAAATTATACGCACTCTTCCAAGAAGGTAGCGAGTACTTTGTAGCTAAACGGACAACCAACATGTCCAGAATGGGGGTAGAATACCGACAGAATGGAACGTCCCGATGGTGATTCCCATATCAAAAAAGGGTGCAAGTACATCGTGCAAGAGCTACAGGACCATCTAGTGGCATTGTCCCCCGAGGCGCTCCCTGGTTCATCCTACCCAGTTTGATCTATCATCGGGAGAGTAGGATTCGCAAAAATTAGGCTGGGTTTCGTTTAACTGTGGTTGCATCGATTATACCGATAACTGCTGAAACTGCTCCCTTCCTTCCGAGACCAACGACGATCGTTATTCTCGATCTGAAAACTGCTTTTAACTCTCATTGATCGTAAGAAACGGCGTCGGTCTGGCAATGAAAGGTGTCCCAAATTCTTTTTTCTCATAAAGAGTCCTCTCGTGGGTGCGCACGCGTCTGTGGCGAATTCTCTTCTGGGTTCACTAAATCCGGTGGCGTCAGGTGTGGGTGGTCTGTTTAGCTTCGTGATCGATGTGCTGATTGAGTCTTCTTTGCCTGCCTCTAACACTTCGGGGTTCGAAATAACCATGGGGCTTTCGATCACACATTGAGTACTCCGACCATATTTTTCTTCCTGGATCTCACTCTTCAGATGTGCAGACTATTTAAAACAATTTAAATAATTTCATTGTACGGTTACGGCATGCTCTTTACTTCTGGAAAGTGTAAAGTGTATTGTAAGACCTGGTGGGATCAATTCCCAACCTCATTCTAGATGGTTTCCAGAGAAGTCCACTCCCCCTAGATAGGTCGGCTGGTTAGGCCATGTACTTCGTATGCCAGAGTACCTCGTTGGCTTAGTGTGTCAGGTGTCCACTCCCCCTAGATAGGTCGGCTGGTTAGGCCATGTACTTCGTATGCCAGAGTACCCTCGTCGCCTAGCTGTGTCAGGTGGAGGCTTTTAGCACTCAGTTCATTCGTGTTGGCAACTACCGCTTCCTTCGGATGTGAATCCCTGAACAAGACAAACCATTGGTTAGTGGTCCTGACAGATATGTTAGACAGTTAGTGGCGATCCTGAATCGAAGCAATAGTTTTGACTGTGTAGTTCGCTCGCTCTGTCATACCGGATAAACTGAACCATTTACCGTCAATGAACTGATTAGGCTGTCGTCTCTAACGCGTGGCCCATTGTCTGATTCTCATCTTTGGTGAACGAAGCTGTGAAAGCTGGAACCACTGTGCTTTGGTACACAGTTTATAGCTGAAAGACGACCAAATATCCACAGCTTGGTGCCTTATTTTCAGGTAATGGTTTTCCGTATTGAACGAAGTGACCATCAAGCTACTCCAGCGTGCACCCTTGGTACTTTATCGACAGAAACTTGTTGCATTTCTCGAATACAAGGTCCCAAATGTGGTAATCGATTCCCATTCGGAAATTTTCGAAATTCAGGTGGTTCTGTGGCCTCTTCAGCCTGTTGCACCAGCTGATATAGCTCTCACTCCCCAAGCCGAAGCTCCTGTAGGCGCGAAGCACTAGATGACCCTTGTCAGCTTTTCCAGTATTACTTGCGCTTCCGAATCTTTTTCAAAAATGAGAACAATGTCGCCTGCATATCTCAAGTCTATAAGATTCCTGCTCTGAGGTGCTTCAATACCTGGTTTTCGCGTACTTTCCAGAGTCCGCCTCGTTACTTCATCAATGGCGAAACTAAGCTTAATTGAATAGAGTGGACACCCTTATCGCACATCACTGCATGTGGGAAGTATGTGAATATAAAGAGCGTACGATATTCACTAACTTGCGCAAGTATGTTTAGTACGAACCGCCTGGGGGAATCGGGTACACTTTCATCTGTTAAATCCTTTTGGTGCCTACCTGCCATGCTACCCAAAAGAAGCACAAGGGCTGAGGTACTGCCTAGTTGTTCCAGCTTGGACAGCAACAGTCGACATGCAGAGGTTAGTCTACGAACTAGGTTTTGACCACATTTTCACACTTTGCCAGTTAGAAAGTTACCACGTGCAGGCTACCCACAATCCTGGCGTTCTCTTACCTCAACGACTTGGCTCATTTTATCACTTAGTCACCTGCAAACCACTCTTGCTCAACGGAGAATACCCAAAGGGTTCATGAACGTCGTCCGTTCGGAATTCCGCTGCTCAAGTGATTATAATTTCCTCAACCTTCGAGGAAATCTATATAAAGTTGAATATACCTGGTTGAGGGAGAATGATCTTGGAGGTTAGATTCTACTCATGCTTCATTCCCACAATGTGTTTCCTCAAGGTTGGCTTCTCATTTTTGGTTCGACTGTGTCATGGTATGACCCAGAACTGAACATTCCAAGGTCCGCAGATCTATTAATCGGAATCGCATTTGGAGTATGCTCAGTGTATTTCGTTTACGCGGATGACGTTCCGTTGTTTGATGTTCATCGGTTTACATAAAATCTTTAGCACACAGTCTGCACCTCAAGATATGATTTTACTTCAGAATTTCAACTCCCAAATATCCATCTAAAACCTCGAGGAATGCAGCTTGATTTTGTGTCTTGGTGCGCCTATCGTCTTAGCTGTGTAAACCGTGGTTGTGCTCTGGCAGACGAGGTCAGAACGTGCGCGATCAGGGCGTGAGCAATGCTCGCCAAGTTCTTTGGCGTCAGTATCGAATTCCACTGAAGCTGAGAAGCCACAATTGTGGGCGCTCTGCATCATCCTCAGACATTGGAGGTACTAACCGGCTCCACCATGTCCGCAATAAAATGATGCACAATTGAGGGCTCAGTAACAAGTCGGTAACTGCTATATATGCTGATTCGCCGATCTGTGGTATCTGCTGCTGGCCCGCTCCAGCCCCTAGTGTCGGAGAGAAAAAAGGCTCACGGAAAGGAACACAATAGCTATATTCCAACAAAGCGGGTGCGAGAGCGTGAGTGCGTGCGAGTGCGAAAAGTACAACGGCCTCAAGCTTTTTATTGGAAGGATACTGTCTGAACTTGGTCCAATGCTGACGCACGCGGTCTGGCTTTGGTACGAGGCAGCGACGTGCTGCATATTGCGGAGGCGTTGTCTGACCTCGATCAACGCTGACTCGCGCTGTCTGGGTTTGATGCAAGGCTGTGACGCGCTGCATGGTGAGGGGGCGTTGTCTGTCTGGTCAACATCCAGAGGAGCTGAGTCTCCGTAGGTTCCGGGCATTCAGTGGTTGCTTTCAGGAAGCTGACCTTCCTGATAGTAACTATAACTAAAGCTCATGAAGATAAGGCAACAAAGTCATATGCTACGCATACTCAGCTGCTGTTCTTGATGCTTCAACCCCTACTGGCGAAAAGTTGTCGATGGAAGGGGGCCATAACGTGGCGGTGTTCATCTACCTTGATCACACCATTTGTTTGGAAGCGTTTCCAATCTTGTTGCAGAAATGTATATTCGTTTCAGCTGCGTCTCGACCTCTTTTCGTTGCAACACGCATTTGTGACAGTTTCGTTGACACCTAGTTCCCCCATGTGCATTTTCTCTCTTTTAGGCGGTCCCAATTTGCTGAGGGAGAAGCGACCTAACCAGGTGAAATCTTCCGCACGTTTGCAGACGTTGCTGGATGTTTGCACTCAGCCGTTGATAGGGCTAAACTATATAGTGGAACGACAGTTCGGAGATGATGAAGAATGTATGTATTATTGCGAGCTGTGTGACGATCGAATCACACGACAAGATGCAATCAACCACGTCTGTGGTGTGGCACATCGTACGCATTACATGGTGAGTCATTTTTTGCACTAATCGCTTATCCTTTGTCCAGAAAGCACACTATCCAGACATGTGTGGAATCGTTGCTAGCGACCAAAGTGATCTGGATATGCGATTAAAACGTATTGCCTTGTTTGCTCGGAAGATAGAAGACTTTGAAGGCCGAAAGCGTGTTAAAGTCAAACACCTATCTGGTAAGTTATCAGTCAGTATGTTTCATTGCGTTTAGCTTTTGATGCACTACGACGAATTTGGCGTCCACTTGACGAGTCGGATACGAAGACTGTTGCTTTTATGAAGGAAACCACAGTGAGTTTATCGTTTCACTATGTGTTCATCTGTTTCAGGCCAGGGTTTCTAGCCAGTGCAACAACAAGTCGAAGTTGCCCGTTAAAACTGTTAAAAAGAAACAATCGAAGCCGCGAGACAAGGAATCTTCCACAGACGATTTAGAAGAAGGTGAAATAACGGAAGATTCTTCTGATGAGGAGGTGACCACGGAAAACCAACAGACCACCGAGTCTGCAACTGGTGAGCAAGCAACGTGTGCGACAGACGAAGGGGGGGATAACTTGGATGAGGACGCTACCACGGACCAACCAAGAGTCAGTGTTTTCGCTGAGAACTTGCTCCCTCGATCAGTCTCTAGTTTCCGACCAGATTCCGAATGCGAAGTGTACATGTGAGTCATCAGAAATGGGTTGCTTGCTCGGGGTTTGTCTCGGCTGGCAATTTTCACCATGTTTGGTGTCACCGCTCCCTCGCACAAGCCCTCCTTGACACGCTTTTGCTCTCCAACTTTTTTCCGCACATCCATAGTATATAGGGAGTTGTGTTGAAAGAAACAAACGTGAGTGAATCTGGCGTTTATTTACTTTTTACGATGAACATCCAGAGAATGAATAATTGCAGTCTGCGGAAGGCCTTCAGTTTAATCTGTCGCTCGTTGAAATGCCTTGGAATCCGATTTACGCTCCTGTGAAATGGCCAAGGTCCTGTAAGATTTCACCCGTACTCATACCTTCATCTTTCATGTGACGCTCCATTAGGGTATAACCTAAACCCAATGGCTTATTCTCCAAGTCACACTGATGACGAAACTGCCTCCTGTAAGGAAGTTCTCTATTCTGTTCTAAATGGAATCCTCGTTTTTCCGCTCTTTTTTTGATGGCAGCCATCACAGACTTAGTTGATGGCCTCTTTCAAGAGGCCCGTCATTTATTTCGGTTTCCCGGTTTATCTATGTTACTGTTCAGCCATATAGAGGCTTCCCTGGCACCATCGATGCGCATCTTGCCTGCCTGTTTGGTAGGAATGAGGGGGGCATATAGTTGGACACGAGTGCCGTACTGTCACCTTACCGTTTAGTTAACCCTTCAAATCTTTGTTAGAAAGTAGCCTTTCTGGGAAGGAGCTCCCCTTGTCTGTTTATAGTAACTAGTCTGGGACAGCTGGTGCCATCCCAAGTTGAAATTTGGAAGTTTAGGTTTTCGCACCTGGTGAATTACTTAGGGGACACTGGAGTTACCTGGGTTCCAACCATTCACATGGTCATTGGACGTGAACTTATCTGGTGGCATTTCCTGCAGCCATACTCGTTCTGCACTTTCTCTCATTACTTTCCATCGCTACCTTTTTAAGAGAATCTCTGCGTACAACCGGACAACTTAATTTGACCAAGTTGAAGATAGAATCAGATTCAAAGGAAGCATCCGCGCCCTCTGCTCAGGATACCGAAAACACACTTGAGGATCAATTTTCTCGGGAAGCTGACTGGGTTTTGGACAGAGTGCGTGCACGTCAAGAACAGGAGAAAGAAAACCATAGACAGTTGGCTGTCGCTATGTCTGCTGCTGCTGATGCCGAGGCTTTGAAACAACAGCAACACCCGACCAAACCGTCAGTTCTTGAACGACGAATGCGAATACAAAGGGGGCTTGATATAGTCAAGACCTCTGGACGACCTTTCGATTCTGAAGATCTGCCTGCCTGTTTGACAGCTCCCAGGTAAATTATTTCTGATAGTCCTTGCCCCGCTTCAAGTCCATCTAACAAATTACTCTTGTGATCCTTGGAGACGTACACACTTTACCAGTTCAGTGCAGCCATAAGACTGCAGTGTAAAAGAGCTATGAAACTCATTGCAGTGCCGACGTTTCTACTCCAGTGTTCTATTTAGAAAATTTTATACTCGGGAAATTCGAGCAGTTTTAGTGGAAGCAGTGTTGTATTGTTCGGTTCTGCGCCATACCATCGACTCGGGTGACGCAAACCTGTATTGGATCGGGACAGTATTCATGGGACAGTTGTGAACAACTGTGGCGTGGTTGTCTAGACCTTGTAAGTGACCTATTGTGATGCGATACCGTTTCACTGATCTTGAAACTACAAGCAAGAGTACTTAGTTGGGGTCGGTGCGGTTGACTGGCCGCGGCATGTTTTCTGGGGCCGAAGTAATGGGCAATCGTAACTATGCGATGGTACTCTTCGAACGACGCCAAGAGGACCAAACGCGACCATAGCATGGTTGTCGAGATATAATGCACTGCTAGTTGTGACGTCGTGCTGTGTATACCACAACTGGTCACCGGGGCATAGTAACTATCTGCTACTGTGACCATTGTCTGCTGCCGTTATCAATATCCCACCATCTGCTGTCTGTCTGATGATCAAGTAGAGAACATCTTTGACAAATTTATCTGTTTTTTGCTGAGGTAGCGAATAACAGCAGCGAAGAAGTCAGCTTTATAAATGCGCTGTAAATCCGTTCAAATTCCCCAGCTTAGTTTACAGACGACGTTTATGGTTGTCGGAAAAACAACAGCAAATTGACCGACCCGACTGCTCATTCGATTTGACGAATTGACTCTGTAAAACAACCGGTTTGTTAGTCATTAATGAAGTCGATAGCACTGGATGCGCTGGCGTCTTCTTTAGTAAATAAAGCCGAATCCCTCCCCTCAGAGAGGATTCTTTGCACCAGCAAACAGATTCTGGCTGGTCCCGGTAATGTCCTCTCTAAAATAAACAAACGGATTCAATATAGACCTTCAATGTGTATTCCTATTCCTATCTTTATTTTCTGCGCTCGACTGGCGAACCTCTCTCGGTAGGAACGCGTTTCGTACTCCTGAAGTGATCGCTCCTCTGGAGCGCCATTATATATTGACTTACTATTGACAGTTCGCTCGTGCAGGATACCTTCAGCAGCAGTCTAAGGACTACCCTTAACTGGACGAAGCGACAAGTTGGGGAGTGCTTGGCCAGTTCCTCTATTTTACCCGATATGAGTCAATTTATGGTATTTTTCTTTCCAGTGACTTCGATGGTTTCCGGTTCCCCAAGTCGGATTTAGGGAATGGTGCACCATCTAGTTTCGAAGAAGATATTGATGGAGTGGCTTTGGGAGAAAGGGGGTTCCAAGAACAGGGTGAATTGGCTGGGACGCAGTCGACTGTGATCAACGCTCAAGGTGTCGGCTCATTAAACCAAATGGATTCAAACCGCCAGCGCCTCGCGGTTTCCAGCGGCGCTGCTGAAATCATACTCTCTGCTTTAGGCGCTCTTCGAGAATCGGGTCAGTTGCCAAATTTCGTCAACCCTGTGATCTTAACCAAGCCGAAAACTGACGAACCGACCACAGATGTGGTCTCGGTTCCAAAAGTTGGTCTGCTGGGAGATGCTCTTCCTCCCAGCACGACCCCAAGCTTGCTTCCCAAGAGTGTCAAACCTGTATCTCATACTGGTGAGTCGTAGTAACTTTTCCTTTTGGTCGTCTTTTGGGTCAGAAATTTGGAACCTTGCTCCTTTTGACTACCTCACCCCTAACTTGTTCGATGGTAGTACTACCTATTGGTGCTTCGTGAATTTTATCACTGTTTTTACCAAGTGGAGTATTTCTTGTGCCGACTAATGACATCGCTTGATGTTGCTCACATCCTTTCACATATTCATTCATCGTTGTCATGTTATAACCACAACATAGCGGATCAAATTTCCCCTCAAAAAATTCCTCACAAGGGAACGTCATTCACGAAAGTCCCGAATGCCCGTGTTGGTTATGAGTTTGATGCACTGATCTTTTAGCGTGCATCCTACTTAACTCATCGATCATTGAAAGTAGATGGTGTGCTTTTTGCCCAGTGATCCCTCAATTACGGTCTGGGACATACCTGTTTGGGTGGTTTACTGTTACGTCCATGAGAATGGGAGTAGTGATCTCGTGGAGGCACCCCTCTCCAGTGTATTTTATCACGACTTAAGCGGGTCAAAGTTATTCACTAATTGATACTATGTGGTACAAGTTCGTGATGTACTGCGCGTTATGGCTCAAACTTTCGTGTGCCTCTCTTGTTTTCACAGTTTGGCATCACCTTTTAACAGATATTTGCCATCAATACATGCCTCTGTTCCTCATATGCTGTTTTAGGACCCTCCGGCTTCGTAAATCGGTCTACAGACGGTACACCCAAATTCGAACCTCCTCAGGTTACGTCAGAACCTTCCGTTGGGCTACTGTCATCACATCAACACGGGATGCCTCCGGCTGCGGCACCCATGGCTCCACCGATTGTTCTTCCCCTCTCAAGGAATTCAATGGCTCCCGAAATTCAGCATCGAAGTTCTGGAGTGGGCCTTCTTGGTGATCCTTTGCTGCGACCATTATCCGGTCCGAAGTCTGTTGCACAACCTGTGTCTGTCTCGAAACCAGTGACACAATCAGTACCTATTTCGAAACCAATAACACAACCGGTATCTGTTTTGAATCAAACAACACAAGCGGTATCTGTCTCGATGGGCCAGTCTACACAAACATCCTCTATCTCAATGCCCCAACCGGTACCTCCTCCGAAGATGGTACCTCAACCCGTGCCTCCTCCAAAGAGCGTGACACCGGTTACTGCCCGAGGGCCGCCTAGGAGAACTGGAGCTCCATCTAGCCCCAGGTCTTCTCCAAAACTGCCTTCAAAACAACCACGCATTAATTCTGATTACTCAGTTCCTCCACCACACCCGGTTGACGAACATAACTTGTCATTTAAAGTTGCCTCTTACATGCGGGCCGATGCGTCTGTCCCATCGGAAACAATGTTTGACGCTTACGCACTGTACTCACGTCGATCAAGTGAACGGAATCGACCTCGTTCCCCTCCACCAATGCCACATAACGTTCGACCAAGAGTTATGGGAGGCCGGGCATCCGCTAGAAATGCTCCCCGACCAGGTGCTGGTGGCGGAGGACGGAAGATGTCCGTTATAGCTGACTTTTTGGGGGTGAACGAACCACCTGCTCCACCGTCTAGCGCACCTAAACTCCATTCACCACCCGTCCCGCGTAATTCTATTCCTTCAACTTCCAACAACATTACGTATTGGAGACAGGCACATGAACCATCCTATCTTGTTCCTGTTGCGTCATTTGCTGTTCCACATTCCTCTACACTCCCGCGTATTTCCTATTACATCCCGAAACAGCAGATAGGTGCTGTTCCGGATGCACGTCCAAGTTTACACGAGGCGTCTGAATTTGCCCCCATTCCACCATACGCCCCACCATTGGTCGCACCGCCTGCGGCGAGACCCTTTAGTCGTCCACCTGGCAACTTTGACGATTTCTTCCGAAGGCTACAAAGTACATGAAGCTTTTTTCGCCGCTCTGTATTTGTATGACGCAGAATTTACGAATTTCATTGTAATCTAATTTCCAGAACTACAACAGCATTTTAAAAGTGCATTTGGGCATCCCGGACAGTTTCGGTCTAACACACTTCACCCTGATTCCTTAAATATTGTCCAATGTTGCGGACGATTCGAATAGTTTTGTAGCGACTGCATATATAAATCATCCGGTCATCCTCATTTTCTCCCTATAAATCCGAGTCCGTCGTGTCTGTCGATCGAAGTTTGTCCTCAATTTGCTGTCGATTGACTCGTCGGTAGGTGTTTAATCGCACCGACTCAACGTATTCTGATGGGACGTAGGTTTTTGTAATCAGAACGTCGTTAGTCCCGGTTATCGTGATCAATCCTTGTTAAGGAATCGGTTGCGAAGACCCTTGGGAAATGATACCCATGACAACGTTCAGTTTATCATACTTTATTCTAACCTGTTCCGATTAGATACATGGTACAAAAACTCATATCTTAATAGTAAGTAATAAATAATAATCGTTCAGCTGTAGCACCCTTCCGGTGCCTAGCTGCCATGCCACCCGCAGGAAGCATGAGGGCTGGGATACTGCCAGGTTGCCCAAGCCTAGACAGGGGAAGTCGAGAGTCAGGTCGGGTTCGAACCATGGACCTTCTGGTCAGTAAATTCGCGCTCTAACCACTTCGGCCATCTCGCCCCCATATCTTAATGGTGTTTTATTAGGTTCCATTTGTTAGTCGGGATACGTTCTTGCGGAACTCGCACCTGGTACTAAATTGGCGTTGTATTGGAGACAGTAGCAATTATCAGGATCGATATATCCTGAAACGCAGAGTACCATCTTGCTCGCTTAGAATATGACGTATTTATTCGACTCGTAATACGAGGTAGTCAACGTTTTCGCTGCTGTGAGTTGACACTCTGAAGTTCATGGGACGTTCGCAGGCACATTTAGTGGGTTTATAAAGCGATCCGCTCCATTTCTGTATTGTTCTAACTCAGCTTGTTAAAGCTTCTTTTCCACATTAATTTCCGGTTGGTCAAGAGGATATACCGTGACCCAACCGAGGAACCATTGGAATAGTACCATGTGAACTATGAGTGAGGTGAGGCTTGTCTCAAATTCGTCGCTGGTAAGCAAATCCGACATGGTTTCGGAACCCAGCACGTTAACTGAACCAATTATGGGGGGTCGTAGAGAGGATACTCTCCGTCAACTCCTTTGTCGGGGTATGATGCCCAAAGCGAATGCTCGGGACATTCAATGGCCTCACGTAGATGCAACGGGGACTACCTCAGTGATACGATCGATCTGCATAGTGGTTGTCGCTTTCTGTCTGGATCGTCTCAAACGTGTTATTTGACCTACTTATCTGAATAAGAACCACAGAAGAAAAAATAACAACTGCCAGCATGCTAAACTGTCGATCAAACCGAAGCAAGTCAGATCCGCAAGAGCTCTTTGATATTGTTACATGGAGTGACATCACTACTAGCCTTTTCAGAACTGAGCATGACATGTACCGTGATAGGGTGGTGTTGCTGAGCAGACATGCGGAATCACCAGCATAGCGCGAATATTATTTTCTTACCGAATCTGCCTACACTTCCTCTCCGTAGTTCTCAGCTACGCTCACCTGGGTTAACCTGCCACCCTGTGGTATGTAAGTGCTCCTCTAATTGTGACGTAATTAAGTTGATTATCAGAGGGTAACAAGCACCAACAACTGTCTGTCTCACTCATCATCGACAGCATGACATCAGGGTTCAACACCGATGCTTCACTGCCGTACAACCATGAATGTGATGAATGCAATACTTAGGTGCACTTGATAAAAAATGGATACAATTCGAAAAGTGGCATAAGCCAAAAAGTGACTCATCGTTTGAGGACACTTGTTGAGGGTTCTTGAGTGAAGTTGCGGACGTGGGACGTGTCTTCTCTGCAGTATAGCTGCTACATGTGTTCCGTAGTGGATACCTGCGGAACTCCGTTGACTTCCTGTGCGCGCGAGTGTGCATGTTGAGCCTAGTTGTATGCCTATTTATTGTGTGCAGTGTGAAGAGAGGGGTGTCGCTTCGTGTTTGATGCTTGCACGAACATGAATACAACTGACCTGATGTGTTGAAGTTCATAATCCTGGCGCGTTACGCGAGTGATAGCCGCGTAAACAAAAATGAGAATTCGTACAAGTTGTCTGCTATGGTTGCAGGTGGGACAGGAATTGTCACGTGGTTTTAGTGTTCGTGACGCGTGCTCTGATGAGTGTCCTCTACAGGTAAACAACTCTGCTCGCCGTCACCTGTAAACTGTTATGTGGGGTCGTCAGTTGGTTTTTAGGTTCACGTGGACACCAACTGCAGTAGGTCCACTCCGTAAGGGCCGTTAGAAGTTTCATCGCATCCTATAGGCATTCTAGCCAAGGGAGTACAGTGCGTCGTCCATCAGGGGTTCGAGCAGGTCAACAGTAGAGGTTCCAAAAAGCTACAAAACAACAGACCGTTGGTAATGAGAACAAAGAACCTGCGACAGACTACCTTCTCGTACTTCATATATCACTTGGGATTATGGACTTGACCAACGATGAACGAATATGTATGGGTTAGCCAGTCCAATCTCAGTGATTCTAAAATCGGTTGCGCATCCAGCGCTCAGATACATTCCTTTTCAGGGTAAATTGCTTGATACTTGCATTGATGGGATGTTCAAAGACAATATTTGAATAGACCCGACTGCATTTGGTGACCTTAAACCGGGACTTTTCGTACTGTTCGCTCATGACTTTCCAGTGAACTCGTGATGTCTTCATACAGTCGTCACCCATGAGCAGAAAATCTTAGTTGCTCTTAGGAAAGGAACAACACGACTGGCTTTTTAGAATGGAAGTTTATTTACTGAAGTAGTTCAATTCAGGTTGCTTGTGGTGTAAGGAGATTATGACATTATTAATACGTCTCATCTTGCAATCGAAGTCGATTTATGCTTTGGCGATATGTAGCAGCTTTATCCTTGTTGGGAATCATCAATGTGCACGTTACGATTCCCTATGGAGATTCCAACCTGCACTTTCCCACCTGGAATTTGAAGGCTGAGCCGTTTGGTCACGGGCTGTCATGCAGCAATGTGACCATGTTGTACAGGATATAGCAACTCTCATCCTTCAATCGCGCGATTCAAACCATTTTGTCAAGTGTTGACTGATTTCTCGCGTGAAAACTACCCAGGCGTAAGGGTCATACAACGTAGAGAATGTTTCTTTCTATGCGGGTTAATTTTTGTTCGATGCTTTGCTCAGCCGCACGAACTTTATGATGTTCAACAATCGGTTGGGTGGTATCGGTCTGAATCCCTCATGAGATTCACACTATTGAGTATCCTCAACAGCGATTTGAAAATCATTTAGTGTGCTTGCGTTTCAAATGATCCCAAAAGTTATTCGAGGATTAAGGCGCGAAATTACTAACTGGGAGAACCGTGGTTTGAACGCAGCCTCAGCTGTTCATAGGCTTGAGAAACTTGGAAACCTGGTGCCAAGCGCTAAATTTTTGCGTATACCTCCGGTTGAATGGTCGAAATAAGTTTTCTAATTGCAGCGTCCACATAAGAAGAAGAACGGATGAACAACTAATTTGACTGAACTAAATCGGTGTCCAGTTCTCGTGTTCCGTCGAGTTTCATCTAGTGAAGGCATCTAGTGAAGACTGCTCTTACCCGGGGCTTAACCTGCTCTATTTCTGGCTGGATTTTGTTGCCGTCGTTCTCGTCTGGTTGCTTTCTTGAAGTTGGTTTTGTTCTGACAGTTATGTATGTGGAAAATCCAGCTTCACGCCAATACACAGATGCATTTCGAATGTTGTTGGACATCAGGGCTAAGCTCAAGATAGCTCAATGGGTAAAGTGCCAGCTTAAGGATCAGAGGTCCGTAGTTCGAACCAACCCCCCGGCATATAGACTGCTCCTGTCTAGGCTTGGGCATCCTGGCAGTATCCCAGCCCTCGTGCCTCCTTCGTGTGGCATGGTAGCTAGGCACCGAAAGGGTGCTACAGCTTGG